CATCGGGCTCTGAAATGGTCAGCACTCGCTTCTTAGCTCATCTGATTGGATGCGTGCACGTGCTCAGAAACAGGACTCACAAAGAGCTTGTCATCGAGAAGGACTTGGCCTCAGTCGGTTGCTGTCTGCAGGGTGAGCTGTGGGCTGCACGAAGCTTCAGGATGCTGTTACGATTAGGCTACGTGGTAGTTCACGATTCAAAACCAATGCAGTGGTTTCGTACTGCGTTTAGCGGACTGTGCCTTATGCAAGGGGCCGGGATCGCAGAGCATCCTCGCAATGCTTCTGATGAGGTCACCTCGATGATCTCGACGCCCTTCATCAAGCACACAAACTCTCCGACGTGAGGCTTAGATTCCCGACGTCGCTGGTCTGTGCTGCTCTTTCCCCGTAGCTACGATATGACCCTGGAGGAAAGAGTCGGATGGCCTGGCAGGCACAGGCATGCACCCCTTCAATCCCGGTCGACTCTCAGTGCCCTCGACTCAAATGTCTGAATGCTGGACGGGAATCCCGCACCCAAGCAGCACGAGCCAGATCTATGATGTACAGTTGTGCAGCAAATGCCCAGAGAAAGGACCTCTGACAGCAGGAAGCGATGTTTACGTCCATCCGCGGACGAAGCAAGTGTGTGTTCTGCCAGGATATACTGGGCCTAGATCCCGGAGTCTCGCTGTGAGGGTTTTGCCAAGCTTCGCTTCCGCCGGCAGATCCCGTCGCATTTCACGAAATTCGCTTCTTGCGCTGGTGGCTCCGGGGCCCCACAAGTGGTAGCACGGCCTGTTGTAAGGCAGTTGAAAGCCAAGCACCTAGTTGCGGCAGTGGCTTTCGGTTTGCTGGAGTTCTCGGCACAGGAGAGCGATTCGCCAGCAGGGTGGTCGGCCGGAGTTCGATATTTTGCAGGGAAATCGCCGGGATATGTCTCAAGGACAGGTCCCGCGGCGCTCGCATCACGTTCTTGTTTCACGGTAGCATTTTGCCTCTTGCAAGCTAGTGGCAAAGAGAATCGAGACATGTATGCTCCGCACAATGGGCGAATCAATCGGACAGGAAGCCCTCAGTCCGAACAGTCTTTCTTGTAGCAGTAGCCAACCTTCTTTGGAATAGTGTTTGGCGCATCTTGAAAGTGATTGCGTGAAAGATCCGTAGTATCTGCGGTGTCTGCAATAGAGCAGCGGTTGGAATCCTGCAAGGGCTCAAACGACGCGAGTTCTTCGCCGTGGCGCCGCTGCGAAGGTTCGGGGCTTGGCCGAGTGACTCGACCCGAACTCCCAAGCCACGCAAATTCTTACAGAGAGGCGGCAGCCAAGGGGACTACTCATGACAGTTTCAGCTTGTGCATCTGTCTGTGGAGCAGTCAACATCTTCTTCCAATGCACGTGAGGCGCCTTGCATAGAGTACCAGGTGACCAGCCGGCCACTGCCGAAGACAGTCCAACAACACGTTCTTCCAATATCTGATGTAATGTGGTTTATGTTAATGTAATCTGCTGCTGAGGCCATGGCGGCCGCGCCGATGGCGGAGTGCCGGGCTTAGGACGCTATGCAACATGACAGTCTGCGTAAGACAACCGTGACGGTCAGCAGCATGATCTGGTTCATGCTTCGATAATATTGATATCAATGACTGGTGGTGACGATAATCTGGTTGTGTCTTTTCGTGAGGTGCTTCTCCGTTTCTCTATTCCAGGCCGCCCCTGAGCCGCGTCTTTCCGGGCGGCGCGCCCTCGCCTTCGGCTGGGAGACCACAGACAGCCGGGAAGAAGGGAGGATCGGTTCAGGGTTGATTGGCATTGCAGCGCTGAGCATTAAAACGGAGATTTTGGTGCCTGGTTTCATTGTTGAGCGTTTTGCATTTAAGGGGTGGAGGGTTTGGTTTCGAAAATTAGGTTCAGTGATGTTAGGACCGTGGTTTTCAGACCTTGCGGTAGATGCGTTCATGCCTGGAGATCTATGGACGCCCCGTCATTGGTCATATTATCAGGACCATCTTGTTGACAGCGATGACGATGATCATGGTTCGATCATGAAAATGACGATGATGATGACGATGATGATGATGATGATGATGATGCTGACGATAGTGACGCTGGGTGGTTGCCGGTGATGGTGGTAATCTTCATTGCCATGATGAACACGAAGATAGTGAGGATAATGATGGTGCCGAGGATGCTAATGATGGTGCCGTGGATTCGGTGCGGGGGGCAAACACGATGCTGGTCCAGAAGAAGAAGAAGAGGGTGATGATGATGATGATGATGATGATGAAGATGGTGGGAGGGATTGTGCTTATGGTCGTGATGCCATTGGCAAGGGCAGCATGAGTACCATGCCATACTCGTTCTCCGCCACGATCGGAACGACCATGTTCCTGCTTTCCTTACCATGCTGGCCGTCTTAGCGAGCCGTTTCTTTTCGCATCTAGGTGGGGGTCATACATCCGGGCTTCATGGTTAAGTTTACTTTATTCAGTTCCGCCTCAAACGCGCTCCCAAGAACTTAACTGGAAGCCCGGACCTTCAGTTTGATTTCGCAGATCTGCGCATACTGCAAAGGTCGAGTCACATGTTCAGAACTGCTCCAATGCTCACCCAGGCCTTGACACAAAAGATCGCAGGCTCGGAATCGCGTGGTGTGTGTTCCAGTTGATGTTTGGCTGCAGGATCTGGATGGTAGTGAACACTGGTTCAGGTTGATACATTGTAAAACACCGAAAAGTCTGGAAGCTCTTACGTTCGAGTGGTGCTCTGCTTGTTGCGATTATCATCAGAGCGGTGTCCGCATGAGGATGCTGATGGCGATGATTGTGACGATGATGATGATGATGATTTTATTGTGCTTGAGATGCGGAGGTTTCAATGTTCTGCTATGTGCTTATCTTGTTCATAAGTACCCTGGTGTAGATGGTGTTTGCATTTTGCCGTGTGTCTGCTATAAGCAAGAGAACGAGACCTAAAACAGGAAGAATGCAATGGTGCTTGAAATGGGTAGCCGTGATAGTAGCACTCTTAGACGTAGACTAACCTTAGGTGAGTTTCTGATGCCGCCGATCAGAAGCGGGCGCAGCACAGAAATCATGGCAATGCAGCGACCGTGGCAACGATCGCAGCTCTACTGCCTCACAAATGCTTCAGATCGTGGCGTGACGACTCGGCACAACAGCATGTGCTGGAACTGGCCATTCCGCCCTGCAGGTGCCCTGTGTGCACCGACTCCACGACGTGAGAAAACCGTGCCGATTTTTGTAGTCATGTTCGCGCGGCTTGTCAAAACCATACAAATACAGACAGCCCAGATTCAACTAGACGGACTGTGAGCCGTTCACACAGTGCGGGGTCGAGGGGGGGGGGGGGGGGGGTGGTTGGATACCTCTTGAACTGCTCACGTTATGGCTTGGCAGATTGCAGGGCAGCTGAGCGATATCTGCAGGAAGCGTCGTTGCACCGTGACGATTCGGCGACGCAACATGTGCTGCAACCGGCCATTCCGCCCTGAAGGTGCGCCATGTGTCCCAGAAGGTTGCCCCGCAGCCTCGGATTCCACGTGCATCAAAATGTTCCGCACCCGCACCGCGGCCCTCTGTGGTCGCTGATGAACCCATCGATCACAGCCGGATGTAACATGACTAGCGTAGGTTTTGTGATATAACATACGATATAGTTATACCAAGGACCCGGTCGGAATATTATTGTGAAAATGTTGGCGTCTGTCTCAGCCGTGTTCTCGTCCTCTGTCTCATATATGCAGGTGATCCACAAGCAGCCTAAACCAACACCTTATGCACCAAAGTTATCCCAAGGCTCCCCGCGAAGGGTTGAGGAGAAAGCGGAAATCCAAGCATGGTGGTAACGACTCCTAGATTCTGTTCAGGGTTATCCTGTGTCTTGATGTCAACACACCGCAGGTCGGCGCAACTCCCAAATCCGAATGCTTCGTTAAGTTGTCCCACAGATGAGCCCGTGCACGTGTCCGAATTTCGCTAGTCTGTAGGTACAGTACCTCATAGAGACGTTCATGAAGAATTAGCCTCAAGTCCCGATAGCTGGAGTAAGCTTGAAGGCCAGCGGCAGCTGCAAGTTCCCGAGGTGCGAACTGAAATCCGACATGGTGAAAGCAAGATTGTTTAGGATCGAGGGCGTATGTTCTTCAGGTTAAGGGTTTAGGGTTTCTGGGCTTTTAGGACCGAAGGCGTCACACTGAAGAAACATGTAGAGCTTCATCTTTTCGGCGCTGCCCCGAGGTGCAGGCACGACGCTGAAGCCCTGAAGTCCTGAAGCCTTGCAGCCCAAAATGAAGTCCGCGTGTGGGCCATGAATCTGCAAGGAGTAGCAAGACCCCGCCTGAGCATCAGGGTCTTGACTCCAAACACCCACAACTGTGGAATTCCCAAGGCCCTCGACACAAGGTCCATGTGGATACGGTTTGGAAACTGCAATTTACATGTCAAGATCTCGGGTTTACGGTTTGTGGGCGGATACACTGAAGACCATCGAATCGACTGCTCAGATGGCCAAAACTCTTGTCCCCCATGACCCATGACAAAGCTTGGCGAAGGAGGTGGAATACTTGCCGCCTCTTCGTGTGGCGCCTCCACGACCCAGGAGAGTGGAGTTGCAACTTTCAGAGAGTTGTTGTCCTGTAGCTGTGACGGCCAGTAGTCCAAGATGCAGCTTGTTTGGCTCACGGTTTGTGGTGTGCTTCTTCGACTCTCAGACAGGGCGGGAAGGGCACAGACACCTTGCAACACTTGCAACACTGGCACCAGAGGTCTCCCTGCAAGTAAAGTGCGGGCGCTTTGATTTGGCTGGAACAGCTGGTGGGCTCACCTCTGCTTTTTGCGCTAGAGAGCCGGGGTATGCAAGTCGCAAAGCTTCATGTGTGATCAGGATTCGCACGTGAAGTCTGAGGGGATTTCATGCTCGGCTGAAGATCAATTCCGCCAAGCTCTCAATCTAAGCCCAACGGGCCTAGCACAGAGTTTAACCTCACACCCCGCCAAAATGAGCCCCGAAGCCAAAAAACTGACCCGGCAAAACACAACACTCAGCCCCAGGATTCCAGGCGGCACCGAATTTTATGGTGCTGTGCCGAAGCACAGTGCGACTTTTGCATGGTCCGAGCTCTGTGCGACGCCGGGGGCTCAACATGTGTGGGTTTGGCACTGTATGTGTTTTCTGATGCAATGCTTGGGGGTTTCCAGGATAAACAATGAAACAGAAATCATTCTTGCCAGTGCAGGCTTGTGGGTGCGGGCCCATTCAAGCCCCACAGTGAAAAGGACTTAGGCTCCAAATCATGTTTTGATGTTGCTGGAGTCTAGAACCGAATGCCTGGCTTCAAGAAGTAGCCTTCGAGGTGCTAAACAAGGGGTGCGCATACCAGAAAGTCCTTTGTCAACCACCGCACACGGAGAGGTTCCATTGTCTGTTGCAAGTGCATGCAACCCCACAACCCTCTCTCACACTCCGGAATCCCCGAACTTTGAAGTAATCCTCCGAAGAAGTGGGAAGTGGACACGGAAGAGACGAAGCTGGTGTTCCGAATGTTCGCATGAGGGAACCAGGGAGCCTCAACAAGTAGAAATGCTGCAAAGCTTAGTAGTTGTTCCCTTGTGGTTGTCATGACATCCCAACACCACGGTTTGATCATTTTAGGCTCCAGCGGCTGCTGGTTCGCAAGTCCTGAGCATGCAGAGGCCGTCGCCGGAGGATTCCCTCGCTCCCGTGCCGCAAATCCCCATGAAGACCTGGTGCGCCCTGCGGTTCAAGGGTCCTCAGAACCGTGAGGGTGCTTGCTCATTGCGCAGGTACAATTCGTACGTATACGTTCCGGAAGAGGGCCAGCAGGACCGGCTGCAAAGTTTGGGTAGCTGTTGGTATCAAGGAATTCGGGGAGTTTGCAGACTAGGTCTATATCACCGGAATTCTATGCCGCATAGTTGATCTATTAAACGCGAACCAGCATGGCCAGTAACAGCGAAAGTCTGGTGGTAGGAGGCCACCTAGTTGACTCCTGCAGTGTGTGCCGTGGTTAACGGCCCATACCAAATTTGTTGGGTTCGGCGTCGGGCTAGCGGCGTTGGGTGTGAAGCGTTGCATTTCGTTCTCTCTGGACTTCGTGTTTGGCGGGCCAGGGCCGATGCTATTCAGCAAGAGTCCTGAGAAAATGGTGGTGGAACTAGCAGAAAGGAGCACACCGAGTCCTCATTGCTGGCACCAGCAGCTGCTATCTGCAGGACCGCCAGTATTTACAACGCTTCACTCGCGGGCCGAACGGTGAGTGGATCGACGTGGTCAAGGCCTGCGCAGCGCAAGCAAGTAGACACCTACCATGAATTGCGGCGTGTATCCTGCAATACCGGTTCTGCAGAACGGTCAGTTGAACTTTTCAAGCAGTCAGATCGAAACTTACATTGCAGATCAGCCTCACTCCTCCTCCTACAAGGCTCGCAGACTCGTCGATGCGATGGAGGAGCGGCGGCAACAGCAGTGCCGCAGCTGCATTCAGCTTCAAGATCTCGGCACACTTGGAGCAGATGAGAGCGGCTGTGTCGCCAGGAGAGGCGAGGCTTTTCCAACCCCGGGATCGGGCACATTGAATGCATCAAACCGCAAGTAACACGAACTACATCTTAGTCTTCAGGTCCATTCGTCAACCATGCATGCGTGAAATAGTCACGGGGGCCCGTCCGTGCCTGAGGATGCGAGACGACGTGGAAAGGGCCAGGGCCCCACCTTACAGATTTCAGGGAACGGGTTGCAGCGGAGCTGTGGAGGCATTGGAGCTTTGTGAATGCGGCTTCTTCGGAGCAGGATTTGAGGTTAGGTTTCAGCATTCGCCATGGTTAGCTTAACTTGTTGGTTCCAGGTCCATTGAATTGCAGAGTTTGGATTCAGGGTTTTGGGTAGGTAAACACTAGCAGCGATGTCCAAAGATCGGCAAGTACTTCAATATCACCCGACTGCTGACTCCAGACAGCTGAACCCTCAACTTCATCAAACAACAAGCTCTTCTCGGAAGCTTACACCGGAGCCCAAGACAGACGTTGCCCAAGCCAAACCGGCCCAAGTCCCGAAGCTGCAGAAACTAAGGAGCCAAAGCGAGTTCTTGTTTCCAAAAGCCTAGCAAAATTCCATACGAGGTCCAGAAGCAAGGCATGTCCCTCCATCAAACTAAATACACACATCGCACCCGACTCGACACGAATACTCACACAAAGCTAAAATGTATAGACACTTTACAAAACAGTATTAGTGGCCTGTAGGTTGTCCTTCTCGTTGGTCAAGATTGGGTTGACCTTGCACTCCCCCCCTGAGGATATGGTCCTCGCTGGGATGCGCGCGATGGGCTCCGGCGCCCTGAGCGCAGGGATGGGTGCCATGCAGATGGGGATGCTCGGCTTTCCAGTTACTTGGGGCCGACAAGGGTTTTGGTGCCTGGGGGAAGTTCGAAGCTTTCCGGGTGAATGTTTTGGGTGTTGGCTGCGCTAAATTATTGGGTTTCTATTTAGGCAGCCGAGCTCATGGACCGCTTACCTTCAGGGTTTCTGCGCTGGGAACTCCTGCGCACAAGAATGCCATCGGCACAATTCCTGCCGCTGCTTCCCGCATGCGTTCCTTAGACCGTGGCCAACTGGCTCTGACCAGGTCCGAGACTCCAAAACCGGTTTGCCTAATTCTTGGATCGATTTCTGCCCCCTAGGAGGTGCTATCAGTCGACAATCTTGCAATGCTGACTATGGTCAGTGTCACTGTTTCTGCGTCATGCCTGCCTCGGCTCCTTATACGACGACTACTACTACAACACTGATTCCTTACGGACGGTGATGAGCATATCAAGCATGCACCCGGACAAACTGAGCAGATAGCCATTCCTGTAGCTCAGTTGCGCCCGAACAATTCCCCAGATCTCGCTGACCCTGAGATGGCTCCGCAATCCTTAGCCCACAGCCTTTCGACAAAATGTACTCTTCGAACCAGGATGAGTGGCATAGAAGCTGGTTGGGGTGCGATCGATGCGGGCTTCAGTGCCCTCGATGCTCGGCGGCCTTAGGCATATGCTTTAGTTACGTTTTCAGTTGTGGTCACATCGCTTCACACAGGTGTTATGCTTCGGGCCCTGCCGCGATTACCTACGCTCTGCCATACTGTCTTACTTCTTTTGGGGGTGCGGCCCGGCCTGGCGTATCAATCTGGCGTATCAATTTGCCGCTTCCACCTTCTGTCATCTGTTCGGGGGCTTCGAAGGCTTTAGAATTTCGGGCTTGTAGGTTCTTTTTGAATCATGGGATGCTTTTTTGTCAGTGGCTCAAGTCAACCAATACAATATGATATCTTCAAGCCCATTTTGTCCTTCGTGCCACCTAGAAGTGTGTAGACACACAACATGCCCTGTACATACATTGAAAAAGTTTAATTGACCAGCAACCAAGCAAGCAAGCAAGCACGCAACCAAGCAACCACGCAACCAAGCAACCAAGTAACCGATCAAGCCAGCAAGCAATCAACCAACCAAACAACCAAACAACCAAGCAACCAACCAACCAACCAAGCAAAAAAGCAAACAACCAAACGAACAAGCACACAAACGCACAGCCACAAAAGTGCGAAACCACACAACCACCCAACCACACTTACACATGCACAAACACACAAGCAGACGGACGAACAAACAAGCAAATACACCACAAATAAACATACACGCAAACAAACACAGACAAATAAAAACAAACACACAAACCAACAAGCAAGCAAGCAAGCAAGCAAACGAACACCAACAAAGACCGGACAGACAGACAGAGAAACGGAGAGAAACGGACAGAGACGCAGACAGAGAGACACAGATAGAGACGCTGATACAGAGACAAGCACATACCCAGACACAGAGCGACAGTAGAAAATGCCAGGAGGGGACACCGGGAAGCCGGTCCGTGGGGCGCACTGGCATGCAAGCGGGAGACGGTAGCGATATCGGCTGCTTGGCTTGAGCTTGAGGACTGCGGGGAGGGTCGAGGGAAAAGCAGGTACAGGATGTGGGATAAAAGATGGATCGCATGGGACCGTTTGCATAAGTGTGCGGGTGGCTTTAGAAGTTTGAGGTTGAGGGACTGGGACCTCTTCCGACATGCTGTTGGCAGGGCGTACATCTTCAGTCAAGTTCAATTCCATCCTAAACCCTAAACTCCCTGAACACGTAAATCCAATGTTCTCCATAGGTCATGGAGTCCATCAGACTCTCTACACCGACGCGTGCGCCGAGTGGCCTCTGTTCCAGGTTGAAGTTGAGTTTCGTGGAGTGGGGGAGTGCGACCGTCGCGTGTACCTTAACGCGTAACTGCCGGCAGTGTTGAAAATGCCTCGAGACGCTGGCTTTGAGGTACTCCGGAGAGCGGCTCATTGCTTGCAAGCGCCGCGGTGGCAAGAGAGAGCTTAGGTCAGGTAGAGGTCCGGAACTGAAGCCAGCTGACTTCGTGCTAGAAGCAAGCAGAAACTCATGCCATGCCTTGATTTTCGCTGATCGATGAAGCTGCCATCAACCAGCGAGCGTTCGGATGGGCTGCACATGCCATGGCTCCTTCGACATGAAACACCAGCAACTTGAACCCCATCCATGAAGCCTTGCCGTAACTTTGGAGAGGCAAAGCCTCAACCTTATTCCACCCAAGGGGAAAGCTGCAGACACGCGAAGAGATCTTGCATGAGCCGGGCCCACAGTGGCACAGGGAAAGCTGCTGCAAGGTTAGTTTCACATCACATTTTCGAGAGCTTCTCAGATGGGTCCAAGTCATGCGATCCGTCATGGCAGCTCAGACACAACAGGTTGTAGTGAGCAGGTGAACAGTACTTTTGTTGATGCTTAAAATTCTTGCACCTGAGCCAGCAAACCAGTACAACCTGCGATACTTTGGGCAGTGTCGATTGCTTGGGTGCCGTATCACGTCACGCGTCTTGACGTGCTTGCTAACGAGAATGCTGGGTTCCGTGTGTTTACAATGCAGGTCCGATCATGCTGGATTCAGCATTCGGAGTCTTCGGTTTAGGAGTTCCGATTGAAGATTTGAGCACTCGAGCTTCAGTCTCACGCTCACGCTGTGACCCCGAAGCCCTGAGGTACCACATTCGCGGGCAGGCAGGCCCTAGCTCAGGCTTTAGGATTGCACTGCCGTATATCTCATCAACTTCAGGAGGAAGGCAAGGTGTCAAAGTTGTGAAGTGCGAGATTCCCGCGAGATGCTCGTAGCCGAGAGACGGGAGGTTTCATCAAAGAGCCTCCACCCACAGACCTCATCTTCTTTAACTGCAAGAGTTTGAGCCCTGAAAGCTGAATCCCAAACGACATTGGCTCACAGCTCCCTTCCAGGGGCCACCCGGCCCTTTGAGGTTTCGGGATCGGTGTAGAGCCTAAGGTGCGTTGATACAGTGACCGCATGGCTTGCTGGGTTGGCTGCACTAAGCAACCTATGCTCAACTGCCATGAAAAACATCGGTATTGAGTCCAAGTAGTACGCCTTTCAGGTCTGCAAGCCTTCCAAGGTCTCACCTTTATGGGTTGGATCCCAAGCTCGTTGCAGGCAGTACCCGAGGATGAGCCGTTCTTTGACTTCGACAACCTTCGATTTTCCTGGCCTTTTGCAAGGCATGGTGCTGCGAACATGTTTTAACTTCTAACTCCTTAACGCATGACATCCCATCACTGTATCAGTTGCAAGTCTTTTGAGCTCCGGGCCTCACGACGCTTCCTCAATAAGAGAACTGAGGTAAGGTCGGTTGGGGAAGAATCGTGCTACAGAGGTCGGCATGTTTCATAGTGCTGCACCCTCCTCGTCCCTGTATAATGTAACCATCGTACAATTACCCCAAACTCTTGCGCTTATCCATCTTCCATTATGGGTGAGGTTTTGCGGTTGTTGCAATTGGGGGCGTTTGGTTCCGGTTTGGATTTCTAGAACTTCACTCAAACTGCCTGTTAATGGTTGTTGCCATTTGTTGGGTTTGCGACTGCCGGATGTTTGTTTGGGTTTCCGACATTAAACCGCTCGAGAGCGATGTTGCGGTTTTGACAAGCTTCGGTGCACCAGCACGAACTGAGAAGTTGGTATGGGAGTTTCAGTCGGAGTTTTTGCAGGCTTCATCGGTGCGCACACCCGGCTTTGCCCTCTAGTTCAGTCTGCGCTGCCACGATGCAGGCCAGAAAAAAACAAGCCGGTGTCCCAACACACGCATGGGGCTTGGAGACAGCCACGCTTGCTGGCAGTTGTTTGTTTGTCAGATCTGGTATGCAGTGGAAAGCAGGCTGCGCTGTGGACATCGATACCAAAGTTCTTCATTTCGGAAACCAAGTGGGTAAGTGCAAGAGAATGATCCCCGCTGATTCCGTTTTGCATTGCGGGCGGATGTGTTCTGTCCCTGACTGTCTCTGCTGTTGATAGGTCATTCTAGTACTATGCCGATGTGTTGTCTCACGACTCATGACAGCGCCTCGCGTGCATTGCCAGCCTTGCCTTAGCCTTCAGGCCCACTCGTGCGCGCTAAGGTATGACTGGTTCGACCGCCGCAACATGTACATCCAGGGAGACTCCAGGTGGCTTTGACCTTGTTTCTTCTCCACGCGTGAGGCATTCGGGACCCCTCCACCCTGATCTGCTGCCTAAAACATGAACTCCCAACGGAGCCCGCAATGAAAGCTCGCAATCCAATGCAACAAAATTCTCAACCAGCAGTCGTGAAACCTTATGCTGATGTTTGCTATGCTGTAACCAAAGATTCAGACCTTGGGCGCTCGTGCCAGTTGCGAGATCGTGGAAATGCCGAGCGTGTACATAGACAGCGAGGAGTTGCACAGGCTGGGTCGAAGCGAATTTGTGGCTTTGATGGTGCGTTTATGGTAGGCTGCTCCTGAATACTTAGTAATATCGGCTGTAGCATTGTATCATCTCACAAGGACCAGTTGATCGGGCTTTTGGGTGATTCAGAGCTTGGCAGAAAGAAAATTTCTTGAGCAACGTCATGGCATCAGTGTTGCAGGGTTTGCTTCCCGGGTTCAGGAGTTGGGGCGATGCCCCTAATCACTGCAGCATTTGATTGTTTTCATGCCTTGACTGGGCTGCATGAAGACGAAGCCAAAATCCCAAGCCGGGAACTAGTCCCAAGCATCCAATCCTGAGCTCAGCAAAAAGGTCTGCTTAACCTCTCCCTACCTGCAAAGGTGGTGGCATGCTGAGCCTCAGCGTCGGGCCACGCCGACCCCCATGCCACAACCCAGCCGGAAAGCTCAGACAACTTGGATCTAACAGGAGGTCTCATTTGCCTTCGTGGCTTTAGGAGTTCAGGAGGTTTGGTTTGGGTTTTCAGGAGCACGTCAAGGGTGTTGTGGTCCCACGGCTTGGTATTCAAGCCAGTCGAGGCCTGCGCTTTCGTTTCACAATTGTAAGCTATGGGCAATGAAAAGCAATGAAGCATACTGGTACTACCTAAACTGCACTTCCGACCCTAAGATTGAAGCACCGTCAACCCAAGAAGCCCTAAAGTTGCCCTTGGCTCCGACCGGTGCATTAAACACTTTTGATCGGAAGCATCGCTTGAAGCCCCAAGCGAAACCACAGCCAAAGCAAATCAGCAGCTGCGTTGAACCTTGTGGATCCTTGTCGTTATGGTCCTTAAACTCGTAAGCTCAGCTCCGGCACCTTCACCTGAACCAAAGCCGAGAAGCAAATGCAACACAGCCGAAAGTGACAATTCCGAAATCAAAAAGCAGGAAGGCATTGTTTCTCTACTTCACTCATCAAGCTCTGCTGTGCTGTGCGCCTGAAAGATACGGATAAGCGCCCAGTCGACCAAGAGACGCATTCCAAAGTCCTGGCCCACGCAGGTGTGCAGCAAGTGATGCTTTGAGCAGCCCTCTGCATTCTTGACGATTCACACATCTAGTGACTCTAGTGTCCGTGCGGGGCCTGCCACATTCATTTGCGCGACTTTGACGTTGGATTTGTTTCGGGTTAGAAGATTCGGGTTCGACCGAGTTTCTCGCTTCACGATTTTAATCAGATGAATGCGCCTCTGCCTCTGCCTGAGCCAGAGGGCAGGATGTGTCACCTTGATTCACATGAGCATTCGCTGCGAAGCTTTGCAACGGAGATCAAAAAGTACACGCTCCAACAAATCATACAAATCTGAGTACGAGGACAACTACTACTCGAGACGCTACTAGCGACCCTTGTTTTGGGCTCGATCGCCAGGGAACGATGCGTTGCTCTATTGGCAGTAGCAGTCGTCGTTCACCCTCGTTGTACCGCTCACCATTGCTACTTGCTACTTCTTCGACTGCGACTGTCGGTAGTACTCCTGCTGCTCCTACTCCTGCTCCTCTCCTCCTCCTGATGTCTCTTCCTCCTCCTGCTCGTCGTCGTCCTCCTCCTCCCACTCCCACTCTTACTCCTACATGCCTCTACGCCGCTGCCACCAGCGCCAGCAGCAGCAGCACCGACAACCACAACCACAACCACCACCAGCACCACCACCACCACCACCACCACCACCACCTCCTACTACTACTACTACTACTACTACTACTACGACTACTACTACCACGACCACTACTACTACTACTACT